AATAGCGAATGTCGCAAAGCGCAAAAACTGAACATAATTAGCGAATAAACATTCTAAAAAAACAGGGTTGGGAGAGGAATAATTGTTATGTAATCTATTATCTTCCTTCAAATAAACAAAAGAAAAGTCTTTTTTAGAGGCTGCTGAGTGCTGGGAAATTGTAAACAACATTGTGCGCATATTTTTCGTCATCAACCTTTTTTTGGCATGCAGCAGAATCAGCGTTCATATTTTCCAAATTTTTTTTGTCTCGAAAAAATTCGGTTTGACAACAGGCTAAGGATTGGAAGAAACTGGGGAAATAGGACTGGAAGCTTTTTTTCCGGAAAATTGCCAATGGTGCTGAAAGACTATAAATTAAATTGCTTGACTGATAACGAATTTGACAATATCCGAGGGATTCTTCCTGGCTGAGTTGTTTCAACTTTTGCAGAAATTTTCGGACCAAAAATGCAACAACAACGACATGGATAACGACATTGGCAACTGAAAGCAGGAAAAGCGGCAGTAGTAAAAATTGAGCGAAAAAACATGTCTTTTCTTTCTGTCATTTTTAAGTAGAAAAAATGTAGAAAAAACGACATCAACATTTATTTTTGAGTTGTTTATCGGTTACTTTAATTCTTCTTTTTCTTCCTTTTATTTTTTCAGTTATGCAGAGAATATTTTTGGTTTTATTCTCATTTCACGTCCTCTACTTCGTTAGTTCTCTTTTTTTTCATTTTTTCTTCCTTTTTTCTTCCTTTTCTTAAGAACGGCAAAAAATGAAAGAAAAGTAAGTTATGAAAGCCCCTACCGCCTGGCTTCTTTTGTGAAAAAAAGATGTACGCTAATGAAAGAGAGTGGAAGAAAGTTTTGTTGGTTACCATGATGGAGGTAGGAGGATATATCATCGGTGCTATGGTGTCGTCTGTCGTGGGAATGAGAGGGTTCAGGCACGGAAGACCGAAAAAGAGACAAGTGACGAGGGAGCAAGGCAAGTTATGATGACGAGAGACAGGAGGATTTTGAGTAAAATAGGTCTTCTGCTTCTATTTCGCCTTGTTTTTATGGTCTTCTATCTCGATCGAATCAGCAGTTAGCTAATTAAAACGCAATTAGAGAAAACAAATGGTTATTTTTTTTAACCTCATTAATTACTCAGTTTCCTGAATCAAAAAAACCTTGCTTTATTTGTTTACTGTATCAGGATGATATAGAGTCTACTTAGACCGTTACACTTGTACGTAAGTCTGTAATGCTTATCAATAAAATTATTTTTTATTTTACTTGACGTATTTGCATTTTTTGCAATTTGATTTTCAAAATCTTTTTTATGCTTTTTATAAATTTAATTGCTCTGGTTTTAGTCGCTTTTCTCTATATTTCACATAAGCACACTTTACGCTCCTGAATATTTTATGGAATAGCACAAACCAAGAAGTATGACTTCATCTACTTACTGATGCCCCTTTTTGTTTTTTCTTTTTTGTTATTTCTGTGAAAAAGACTCTTGAAATACAAATGTGGGAAAAAAAAATTAAATAGTTATGTGGAAAAAGAGGCAAAAAGAAGCATATCAAGTGAAAAGTAAAAACAAAAATGTTGGGATGAATCTATTAGTTTGATAATATCGTTATTAATAATAATTATCATTCTTTAAAACACTCTAAAATCAATGAAATTTTTCTGTTTATTTCTGAAAGTATTAGAAGCTTTGTTACAAATTATTACAGTACAAGTTCACTGCGTTTCATAGACAGTACTGAAGGTTTAAAGGGAAATCAGTGTCGATTCAGGTGTTATCACAACCAGATAACGACCTTACCAAGTAGTATGAGAGTAGTATGTAGAAAAACAGTTTTCTTTTTCGCATATTAGATTTATGTAAAGATAGTGCTTTGCAGAAAAAAGTATAATTACATTGCAAATTGATTATTTATATGAAGAACAACTTTTTTTCAGGCCTGAAAACGAGTAATTTTTTTCCTCTTCTTTTTCTAATGAAGGCGAATCAGCTTGGTGGAACGCAGGTAGTTTCATTGTAAATCAAGTATTAATGAGAATTTCAAGCTTTGTTCGCTTGACAGTATTGCAAAAGTTTTTTCGAAATGACTGTTATTTGGGCTATTTATCCAACACCATTAGAAAAATTATTCGTTCGCGCATTTTCGATGTCAACAAATACTTCTTGTTTGTTGTTAAAATAATTTTATATACGCCTATTTAAACCTCAGATATTGCTGTTTTATTACTTTATAGTTTGAATAATTAATTTACACACAAAGAACAGAGTGAATTAAAAAATAAAAAATGACAGCACTATATAAAAACTATTAGATTTGCCAAACATTGTATTCTGGTTTCTCAGTGCACTTGAATCATCCTGGTCTGCACCTGCCTCTATAATTTATAGACATGAGGACTTCTACACTCAACACAAAAATTCCATATTTCCACATTCGACAGGGCAAACCTGTCAGTGCCACTTACTGTCAGCACTTCCCTGTTCCTGGGACTATCGAGTGCAAACTGTCAAGAAGGGTGAGTAACAGCGGCAGTAATCACGAAAGAATGGGGCTGAGTGTGGGAAGTTTGACGGGCTTTGCAGAGAGCCGAATATATCGACACCACCGCTGTTGTCGGGTTATTGATGGTGGCATGCTTTTTCTTCTTTCTGAACGTAGTCTGTCTTCCTGTTTACTCCAGTAGGTTCAAAAAAAACTTACATAAATTTCCGCAAAAGCACTGTCTTTTTTCCTGCTGTTTTATGCAGTAAAAAATTTTTTTAATCGTTTAAAGAAATTTTTTTTGAAAAAGTTTCTATTATTTTACGAAGTAAAAAGCGAAAAACAAATTTTTAAAACTATAAAATTACTTTACACAAGAAGTAAGCAAAAAAAAAAAAGATGTGAATTTTTTGCTTTAAATAATAATAGAATTTTTTGTGTTAGTTAATAAAATGAAAATATTCTTTGATATGTAAGTGAACAGAAAAATTTAAGGTGGTAGAACAATGGTTTGATCAGCTTGTTCACAATGGGTTTAACCCTTCATCAGCTCATCAGTCCTAGCTCGTTTTTAACTGTCTACAGTTGCTTTGCCTTTTGGATAATCATCCTCACCAGAGACTGTCAGAAGCGAATCAAACTGGCCGTAGTATTAGCAGAGTCATTGGTGTCTACTGCACTCTAGTTTTCCTGGTGGTGACAAAGCTAAACATTCTGAATTTTCAGATCTACTACATTTCTGAATTTCACCGTTTGTATACCAAAATCATTCAAGCTTACAACTTGAAGTCCGGCGGTAATGTTTATCCTAGTTTCTACTTATTGTTTTCTTCTTCTTCATCTGTAATTTACAGCAGCTTCAAGTAAGAAATGAGAAAGGCGAACTAAAGAAAAGAAATAGGCTATCGAAAGAATCAGCAATAACAGTAAGAAAGAACAACGAAAGAACCGAAAAAAACTTTCGAAAACAAACTTCTATAGAAAATTTATTATTTTTTTTTGTTTTTAGTCTGTTTAATTTTTCTAAACTCTTCTCTGCTTTACATTTTCGTCTGTGTTTCAAGCCAATGTCTTCATTACAAATTGACATGTTTTTCTGCTCGTTTTTATAAGTTTCAACTGGAATTCTTTTTTCCTTAACCTATTCTGTACTGTCTTTTTAGCTTGAAGAGCAATTTCGGTTGTGTTTTTCATTTTCTGAAGGCAGAAGAAACTTGTTCAGTCAAGTTAAGGTCATTAACAAATGCGATTTGTAGGTTTTGTTTCAATTTTTTGAGGCTTATTAGGATTTTTTTGCGATTAAAATTGCATACAGGCAAAATTGAGGAAGGAAAATAAAGAAAACGCTATTTTTTTGCTGCTGTTTTCATTATTATCGCTATTATTTAATTGCAAATCTTTTCTTATAACTTAATATTTCTTATGCGCTACCTGCAGTAAAAGTACTTTATATTCTACTGATCAGTTCATTGTGGTCAAAAAAACACAGTCTTCTTCAATTGAACAGTTATAGCCTTCTTCAGCATCGACTTTTAATCAAATTGTAAATAATTTCACCTTTTTTAGCTATTATTTTTAGTGTAAATAAAAGACTGTAAAATTGAATAACTGTTATGTAACAGACTTTTTGACTTTTTGACGATGAAGATGACAATGATGATGATGTTTTTATCAGAGTTATTTTATTTTGTCTCTCTTGTACAACTGAAATTACTCTGGATTTCGGAAATCAAACATCTTCAAATTGGGTTGCTTAACTGTTTCGCTGTTTTCTTTTCAACTTCAATACTTTTTTAATTCAGTTTTATTTATTCCTTTTTTTCCTTCGTTTTCGCTTTTGCTCTCTCTGTCACCATCACCGACGCTCACTCATTGCTTAAACAGCAACAAGAAAATGAGCAGATGATATGTGCTAAAAGTATGCATTAATAAACAAATGAGTTAAAAATGCTATAGCATCAGAAAATTTTGATGAAACAAAAAAAAAAAAGAGAAAGAAAAGCTTTTTTTACATATTTTTTTCATTTTACCATATTCTATGTCTTTTATTTGGTTCAATTTTTCCTCATTCTTTTTCATAACTTATGTTGATATTAATATGGATTGTGTCGAACAGCAATATTTTGAATTTGTGAAGTTTGGTTTTTTTTTTTCTCATGTATACATATACACAGTTTTTTATCGT